TTCAGACGTGGCCTGGTTATACTGTTGGCTCTGTTGTTTGTCATGCAATGGAGATCGCTGCAGGCCGGTGTTCAACAGCTGAATCCGTGCTTGCTTGCGTTCGAACACAGTTCCAGTTCCAGTTTCCGTAAGACAGGTCCAGGTGCCACGGCACCAGTGTCTGGTGCTCCAAGTCTCCATCAGTGTAAGGCCAGCTCGACTTGGGGTTGATGGAGGACGCCTGGTCCGCGGGATGCAGACCGTTGGGGTGGCTGGAGAGAAGGAGCTCAGCGAGCTGGAGAAACGCTGCGCGTGCCGCGCAGTCACTTAGTTGGTGTTGCTGGTCTTTAGCTTGTAGCCCAGACTCTGCAACAACAATAATAAGAAGGCTATGGACAGGCTGGTCTGGTCAAGGTAATGCCAGCATCTTTCGTTGGTAAGAAGACTTCCAGACTTTACTTGCCGTAGTACTAAGTCTCCCGCCCCGGTTCGGCAAAGATGAGCTGTTCGAGGAGTGGCAGGTGACGTTGACTCAGACAACGTATGAGAGCAAAACTTGTCGGAGCGGCGTTTTCGGTCACGTTTTTAGAATTCTGGAGCCGCAGCCGTTCCAACAGATCGAGCGTAATGACGTCCTCTTGGGCAGCCACCCAGACCCTGCACAAGTTAAACATTAGTTACGGGATGTTGCGTCAGCGACTTGCCGGTGGCATTTGCTGAAGTTGCTCCGTCGCGGCCTCGCATGAGCCTCGCCGGGTCCTCACGTCGATCATCTTCATGTTGGTGGAGAAAGAGACGTCGGCCCGGGGCAGGTTGGTGAGGTTTGCGCGTGTGGTTCATCGGGCTCAGGCCGCTGGTATCATTTTCCTTTGTAACTTGGTTTGTTATTTTTTTCTATGTTGTGGTTTGCTGGTGCGTTACCTTTGGGTTTTTGGGAAAGGGGATTGGCTGGTAGGGGCCTTAGTTCGTGGCTTCTAAAACAGTTGCCAGGACTTGCGCCCAAATCACAGTTCCAATGCAGCCATGCCAGCGCAAACATGACGATTTTGCGTATTGGGAAGACCCGATCATGGTTGCGTATTTCCTATCCCGGTGGCGACCATTTTTGCTGGTGTTGAGGGAAATTCGTTTTGGTGCTTTCTCCATGGCGCAGGTTGTTCTTTTAGACCGTGTTATTACTTTTTGCAAAATTGTTTGCATCACCTGGCGGTTGGCGTTGCTTTTGCTCGGGTGAGTGTTTCACACTGAAACCCGCCCACTCAGTTTGAAGGCCTGCATGTTCTTTGGCTGCCACCACCGAAGGCAATTGATATGAACATGTTCTTTCTCCGCATTTTATTCGGGCCTTTTGTGAATCTTGTCGTGGTGGGCGAACATAGGGCAATTTGTTCCAAAGTGGCGCTTTCCATTTGTGGTTCCCAAACAATATCGATTGGCATTTGACTCTTTGAGGGTTTTGTTGGCGACAACTGCCGGCAAACAACATGCCTGCCCATTCTTGGCTCAGCTTTCTTGCCACAAGAAACCTGCCAGCTACAACTGGCAGTTTGCCGCTCGAGCCTTAATTTGTCGTTGCAGGATGGCCTTGTGTTGCCATGCGTTTTATGTAGTCGGTTTATACAAATTTTACACCATACATGATATTTGATTGCTTGCAACATTTCCAAGCACACCGCACGATCACAGGATTATCATTGCAATAAACAACATCTACTTTGTGGTCAGCGGTCCGAAATTCGTTTTCGCGCGTTTTGGACCTCGGTTGGTTGGCTGGCTGGCTGGCTGGCTGGCTGGTTGGCTGGCTGGCTTGTTGGCTGGTTGGTTGGTTGGTTGGTTGGTTTGTTGGTTGGTTGGCCGCATCCCCAGCATTTGGACCTAGGGCGTAGGCTGGCTTCGATCTTACACAGATCTTAATGAGGGCGGGTTTTGGGTTGGTTGGGGGTTCCTTTAGGCTCGGCAAAGGGCTGATGTCCAGGCTGCTGGGTTTTGGTTTTTGAGTGGATTTGGGGTTGGCTTGCCCCAAAACTTGCCCAAAACTCGCATAACCACATCCAGCGCAAATCAGCTCCAAACCAGCCCCAAACCCACACAAAACCAACCAACCCTCGACCCATCCAACGGTCTGGATATCAGCCCTTTGCCGAGGCTAACTAAGCCCTCAACCAGTCCAAGACCCGCCGGGGCTAGTAAAAAACACGCCCCAACGACCTTTGTCATTGGCACATGAGGGCCTCGCAGGATTGACCATCAATGCTTGTGCGGCCCTGCCTTTGTGGGAAGTGAACATGGATGCAACCGAACCAAGTGCGGTTTTTTGCTGCATAAGAACATTAAGGTTGTGCTTTGGTTTTGCTGCCCCAGGCTTCGGCATACGACCTACTGCGTTCCATTGAGATGGCCAAGGCAGGATCGTGGGAGGCGTTTGCTTTTAGATTGCTTTGGGGTGGATGTAGTAAGATCCATTCTTTCTTGGCACATTCCTTTTTTCAGCAAGATGGCAGCTGTTTGAATGACAAATTTGCAAGCCAACAATTCTGCTTTCAGGAGCAGGTTGAACATTGCTGGAACCATTTTTTCGCCTTGCATCAGCTTCATTCCCGTTGAGGAGTCAAAAACCGCAGATGAGGGTATGGGGATGCTGACGTGGACCTCCGACCATCTTAACACCAGGGGATTTGACTCGCACTTGAATGGTTACCCAGCACTAAACCACTGATAGATTGGGAGGCGTCCCATGGAAATCCGGATCACTCGGGAGAAGAACAACATTTTGAGACCCGTGCTTCATTTGAACTCAAAAACTTCTGGAGGAAGAGTTTCGATTTTAAGATCCTTTTGGGATTGAATGAAGACCGAAAGGAATCCAACCAGGACAGGGTTGGCTATATTTGTAGTGGCTTTAAGCATTACCCTTAACAAATTAAGGTGAGTTTCCTTGATGTTTAAGGGGTCCCGAAATTGGACATCCGTAATTGATGGGGCACCAAATTTCTGGCGGCGAACGTCTCAGTTGTGAGGTGTTTGCTGCGCTGCTTTGCACTGCTGTGGCCCAGGCGCGGAAGGTGTGTCACAAGGGTTCGTGGTGATTGGTGACTTTGATGAGGTTCCTGGTAGTCACCCCTCCGACCCAAGAAAACAGTCCACGGACAATGGTAGAGCACTCGAGACCACGGTAGAGCACCTGTGGTAGGCAAGATAGTTGAATGCGAGGCACTGGGATAGGGGCACCATTCTTGCGTGGGGCACAAATCGGCGATCTGATGAGACTTCGGGCCGCTGCTCCCGTTGTCTGTTTCTTGGATTTCAGGAAGCTGGGAAGGGGTCTTGGACTGGGTGTCCTTTGTAGGTACACCAAGGCAACCAATTCCGCAAGTCTCCAATTTGGACACTTACGTATCTGTTTGTACTCCTCGGAGTGCCTCAAACATGCGCAGAGGGACACGTTGGTCAGGAAGCAAAGGGCTGCACTAGTTGCCCTTTTTTTGGCAGATTCCGTCCGAGGTGCCCATACCTGAAAGGCCAGGGACTGAATTGACCAGTTGGGTATCAAATGTCAAGTTAGGGCTGGTTTGGGGATTATCTCATATTTTTCTTCCATCTTTTGCAATTTCCTGATTGTGGATCAGGTCCCACACACTGCTTGGTATCATTTGTTTGTTTTGCTGGTGCTCAGTGGGGAATGACCTTCTGGGTTTGGGGATGACGTTTTGGGATTCCCTTAAAGGAAACCACAAGGGATGGTTTTTTCTCGGGGTCGTTCCATTTCTCATTCCCTGAGAACCCACAGGTTGGGTTCCATCACTCTGGGTGATGCTTCTTGCCAGGAAGACTTGCTCCAGCGAGGCCAGCTCGTTTCTGACTTTCTGACTTTCTGCGTGTGGGAATACATGGGTGTGTCTTGGGTGTGTCTTGTTTGGGGACCCCCAAAATGGTGGTTTCCCAGACGCACCATGCTCCGAGTTTGAGATCATCGCCTGCCGTTGCAGCCATTTCAGCATTGGGCTAGTGCTGCTTCCTAAGATGGAGCCGCAGCTGCCCGGCACGCCGGAAACGCACACCGTGGCGGGAAGCGCAGCGCAGGCTGGCAACTGACATGAGACGAAGCTTCACATCTTTTCAAAGCCAGGGGGACAGGCCACCAGTCCGCCCCTTCAAATATGGTTGGACATACGTCATAAGTCCACTTGTCTTTTCCTGTGGGCTCTTCCTTCCGGAGCTGTCCGAACGGGTTTCTGTTTTACTTTGCCGGACGGTTTGGTTCGAATTCTGAGGTTGCTTCTGGGTCCTTTTCGGCGTGTCTTTTTTTGGGGGGGACCCCCTCAAAATGGTGGTGTTCCTCGGTTTTATTTTGGGCTTCCCTTTAAAACACACCCAGAAAGGGCACACCAAAAGAAGAGCCGCCCTTTTTGGAGGGAGCGTTTGGCTCAGGTCCCACCGAAGGCCGCCTGCGCCGACAGCTTCGGTTCGGTGCCCGCCTTCCGGGCCTTCGCGTGGGGCGCCTGGGCCCTGCGGTCCGCTCGCGCGGGCGAGCCGAGAGAAGGACGCGCAGATCGGATCCGAGAGTTCTGGTGCCACTCGAGCTCGAGCTCCAAGAGCTGGGCGAAGATCTTGACCCTGTTGCCCGGAAAACTTATCGGGTGGGTGCCCAAAGGCACGGTTTCCACACCCCATGTTTTCTTCCATTCAGCGGTTTGGGTTTCCTTTGCAAAAACTTGTTTGAGCCAAGACACGACTTTTGCGGGAGGTTGGTGCACACCAACGGCATCCTTGCGATTTGTCTGGGGCACCTGGGGGCGCTGCTGGGCTTGCTCCTCTACTGCCTGAATGCGCTGCCTGGCCTGGACCGGGGTGGGGGCGAGCAGCTCTACTGCGCCTGGTGCCTGCCATTTGGCCTCGGCTTCAGCGTTTTGGGCCTTTTGTTCCCGAGCTGCAGGTCCATTTTTCTGGACTCCTTGTGCTCTTCAAGGGATCCAAGGAGGGCAGTGGCCAGCCTGGCCAGCACTCTCAAGAGATCTGACTCAATGTTGGTTGCTTGGGACTCAACCACCAGCCACAACCTTTGGTGCTTGTTTGAGATTGTTTCCTTCTTGAAGACCAGAAATGAAGAAAGTCGCCCCCTGGTCATCAAGCCCACCTTCATGGGACCTTTCTCGATCGCGGTGTTTCTGGGCGCTTTCTTCGTCATGGTCCCTTACTGCTTCTTTCCAGTGTCCGACTTCGTGGTGATTGAGATCATCAGCTTCGTCTTGGCAGGTCTCGGTGTAATCTGTGCGTCTTGTGCCATGCACTTTTTGTTTCAGTCCGCCGACGAGACGCTGGCGCAGCTGAAAAACAGCGAGAAGGTGAGCCTGCAGACTTGCATTTGCTCCTGCTGCAAGGAGGGGCAAGAAAAGAAGCACCTTTGTGACAAAGAGGTGATCACCGAGTGCATCCGCGACAGCTACAGCATAGAGAGCTTTGAAGAGGTGGTCCGCTTTGCACTGCATGATGCCGTCAAAAACCAGTGTCGGGGTACTTGCAGGCACCCGGCATGGATTCTTGCCGTGGGATCTCCATTGCTTTGGGCCAACCTGGACATGGTTGCCACCTTTGCCGAGCAGCAGGATCCAGAGTCAGCAGTTGCCTTCCTCATCTACGGCTTGGTTTCCTGGCTAGTTTTGGTTCCTGCGGTGATCTTCCCCTTCGTCTTCATTTGCGACGCACTTGCCGATGAGGGCAGTTCAACATTTCGAGAGCTCTTGAGGACTTTTGGTCCCGCCTGTGTGCCGATGTCCCTCGTTTTCTCTGCGGCCCTGACTCTTAAGTTGAGCTGGGGCTTGGCGGCATCCCCACTTGGGAGCGCCGGCGCAGGCATTGGCATATGTGTTGGCGTTTGGGCCGGCATGCTGCTCTGCGGCGGATGTTGCTTTTCCTGCGTGGGATTGTTAAGTGCCATGACGATTACATGTCAATAGGCCTGCCAGATTCGTTTCACAGGGCTCATTGCCCACCAGAAAAGTGGTGGAGCAGACCCGAGGTTTGCCAAGGTTTGGACTGCTTTCGGGCAAATCCCAAAGAATTCCGCTATAGATAGGCAAAGGAACTCAATCCAGTTGGCTGCCAGAACTTTTGGCTTGCTGATCTTCTTCCATATTGGGTGATTTCAGAAAGGGCAAGCCTTTTCTTCTGTTGGAACGGTGATGGGCGACATTTCTGTGGAAATTCAGAATGGTCACGCGCATGGGTGATGAAGTCGTAGACATTTTGTTGGGTTCCTATATGTTCGGATCTCCAGGTTCTACCATAAGTCTGGCAAAGTGGGAGGCAAACCCTCTCAATCACAGCCAGTGTTGGTTTCCTTCGGCTGGCTTTCTTTGAGTTGCCTTGGCGCCGAATGACATCCAACCATTCTTCAACGGGTGGTCTCCTTTGCAGAACGAAGAGACAACCGTGAAGATTCCATTCCCTCTGATTCTCTGCCAGCCGAGATGCGGTGGTTTTCCTTTTAGGGAATCCACCTATGAGTCCTCCGACTGGTGGTTTCCTACTGTGAATAGACTGAATCCTGCATCACATTGAAACAACGGGAAACCATTGTTTGTTGGCATTTACCCAGTAATTAAACAGTGGTGCAGGATTTTGTTCCACGGTAGGGATCCCCTGTTTCCTTCAAAATCCAGCTGATTCCCCGGAGCGCGCGCTCAGATGCGGGCTCGAGCCCAAGCGAAGCGGTGATCACGCTCTACAAGCGCCAAGACCTCAGCCTGGGAAGCAACTCGGGGCCCGGTCTCCAAGAAAGACCCCCTTGGTTTCGCTTTTTGGTTTCCCTCCAAACCTCAAAAGGGTACCCTACAAAGAGTCGCACCCCTCCTAGCCTTTTCATTACTGATTTGGAGAAGATGCTCTGCAAAAGCAGATTCGCAGAGGCCAGGTGTCAAGGCGTCGTGCCTTGGATGCGCTTGCATGTGCTTGCATTTGCCGCCTATGTTGGTGGAGCCCGGATTGATTGCGCTGCACTTGACGTCGTTCCTCTCCAAGTGCAAAGGATGCGCCAGTACCACCTAGCAATCACCGCGAAAGAATTGAGCATGGTGAGGTGTGCCAAATCCGTATAGATTTCTCTTGGCTGGGGCGATTGACTTCCCCCGAAAGACAGCTCCACTTTGATTTTCAACAGGAGAACTTAAATCTGATCTGCTCCAGCAAACAGAAGTTGTGAACCCCAGAACGACTTCGGAGTCATGTTTCACTTGGGTTTGCTGGGTTTGTCTTTTTTTGCGGACCCTCCCACAAAGATTTTGTCGTCTCCCATAGGTTTTCCCTCAAACACATCACCCCGAAAGGACTTCCTCCCGCCGCAAAAACACAGTCACCGCCCATTTGGGCATGTCTGAGAATCGGAGACTCGCGAAAATGGTTGGTTTCCATTCGGTTTCCTTTATTCACAACCTCAAGACAGGTAACAGCTCCAAAAGAAGATGAGCTACGCATTTCTCTCCCGAGCCCTTATTCCCGGATATCCGTTGATCTGAGGACAAGAGCTGGCTCCGTTGACCCTGACGGGTCCGCTCTTCGACCGTGTGGTCAAGGACAACCCCACCGAGTGGGCCTTTGCCTCAGCGAAGGGTTCGATGGCCTTTGCCCCGCTCTGTTGGGGATTTTCGCCTGAAAACCTTGGCCGAACATGATCTTTTGGGACACCCGAACAAATGTAAGCTGAAATTTGTTGGGTCTAGTGAGCACGTAACTTCGCTGCTTTGACGTACATTTTGCAAAATACCATGCGCTGCGGCATGTTGCGCTCACATTTTCTCAAGGGACAGGGTTGGGGGGGGGGGGGGCAAAATGTAAGGTTTGGTTTTCCCAGGTAGGACATTTGGAAAGGCTGTCAGGGAATGGAAGGATGCAAGAGGGAGAAAAGTGCACCTTCGAACATGTCAAATACATCTTCAGACATGCCCTTGGTGGGGATGAAAACACAACCCCAAAAGGGGTAGCCTCAAGACAAAAAGACTTTGAAGGGGATGTCTTTTCACGAGGAAATCAATGCTCCAGGTATGCTCCTGCTGCTGCTACGTTTGTAGGAGGAAGGGCAATCCCTTTTTGACCACATTGGCGCTTGTCAACATAATGTGGATAGGCACCTTTTCCCCAAAGGGACGACGTCTTTCGATGCCTTTGGCTTCTGAGGCCACGATTGTTGTTTGCTGGTGGGTCTCGGAAAGCCAACTGTCACTCTCAACCAAGCATTGGTTTGGGGGGGGCTTTCCTTTCTGAATTGGTATCTTGTTGAACTCAGCACAATTCTTCCCGAGGTGTGAGCCAGTGCCCATCCGTCAATGGCTGATTGAGTTTTCAAGGAACGAACAGAGAACATGACGTTTCGGGGGTCCTTTTAGCATATTTCCTTTACTTTCCTTTTCCAGGGACTATTTCTCTGATGGGTTCCAACGTGCCTTAGGTGGTCTTCTCTTGCGTCAGTTGGCTCGACGAGTGCCAGGACGACCCGTTTGTTGGGCTCACAACTTTTGGGACCTATCAAAAGATCACTATTCCACAATGTACGAAGTACGAAGTGTATGGGTTAGCTTGAAGCCGTTAGGGATACATTCTTAGGGACGCCACAAAAGTCCAAGAGTACTCCCTCGAAAGTGGATCCTACAATTCTCGTTGGCTTTTTTGAGCAGCCACCAGGTTCGGCGGTTCTTTTTTTGTTGCCGCTTTGTGAAAAGAGGATCGCTGATGCAACAAACAACGGATGAGATGAAGCAGGCCAGGGTGGACTCAAACTGCACCCGCCCTGTCGGGGCCTGTCGGGGAAAGGTCGAGGGAGGGGCCTTCAGCGCGCCTCAAAATGGGAAGGGCAAAAGATCAAGCAACCTCCAAAGGCTCCCACACCATCCGCATTTGACATTTTGACAAGCTCTTAGTCAAGTCTCTTTCTTTCTTCTGATTGACTCCTTCCATGGCCATTTGTGGGTCCAAATTGAACCCACTAGGATATGGACCGCAGGCTTGCAGTCCTTTGCATTTGCCGTTCCAGGAGCTTCAGGAGGAGTTCAGGCTGGGGTGCTTGCGAGTTGTGTCACCTGTTTTGCGTTGTAAAGGGAAGCCAAAAGGAAACCAAGACCACTTTTTCAGGGTGTGGAGTTGTTGGTGAATGTGGGTGGGGATGTGGTGGAACTCCCACCCATCCCCCACCTTATCCAACCCAACTCCACATTTTCAGACAAGCGACAATCATGCTTCAACGGGGTGAACAAATTGGCGGAATTTCAGAGCATTTGAGATTGTATATTTTTCGGCCGGTTTGAAGAGAAAAACAAAAAAACACGAACCATTCCGCACCTTTAGGTTGAAATGAGAGGAGTGATTTGCACCTGGAAGGTTGGAGGCTGTACCTTGCAGGGTTGAACTGGAGATGTATCAAACCCACGGATCCCTCTTTTGCTGCACTCAAAAAGGACATTGGGTATTGGGTATTTTTTGATTTGGAAGGAAAACAAGCAAGGCAACCACTATTTTGTGGAGCAACTCTGAGGGAGCAGTAGAACTGGGCTTGTAGCGAAGATTCCTTTGGCAGGCTCAAGCACGAGAAACAAAGCATGGAGAGGTCAAGCAGTGAGTTGCGAAGCTGCACTGCACAGCTCCGACGTGACCAAGCGAAACATCAGCGCGAGAGTTCCAGGGCGATAGGCGAGCAGACCACTTGCGCAAAAGTCTGAGCACAGAAAGCCTGTTTCCATCAGGTCTATCAAATTTTGGATTTCTGCAGGAGAATCGTTTTTTTTTGTCAGACTCAGGGACCTTGAATGTGATCTGTAAGGAAGCCAACCTCAAAAGGGACCCTCACAAAATGCAAGCCCATGTGACAGACCACAAGAATCACCGGCCAGAATTTGCAAGTGGTTGCGGCTTTCTCGCCGGCTCATGGGTTGTGGCTGCGCTAAGGCGCAGGGGCATCTCGATCTTTTGATTTTTGGAGGACTTGATGGGGGCATGAGTTGTGAAGGGGGCGTCCTTTGTAGTGGCTTTTGGCTTTGCAACAGAGATCCTGGATTTGGATTTGGATTGGGAGCAATTAGCTGCAAGAAATGCTTTCTGGGCAGCAGGATTTCAGAGCGCACAGGGTTTCCCCTTGCTTGGGGAGAGCGCACAAGAACACCCGCGGGAGACCCATGGTCCAGTGGGTGTGTTTTCTCTATCGGGGAAGCCTTTTTTGGTTGGTTTTAAGGAGAAGCCAAAGGAGAGCGGACGACATTTTTCGGGTCCTTATTTGAAGATACGCACAAGTGCAGCTGAGTTGGAATGACCCATGCGGAGCCATCCATTCGCAGGCGACGGCGGTGCAGCCCGAGCACCAAGCAGCCAACACCAGGAGCGGCTGGCAGGGGGGGTTGGTTCGGAGCAGAGAACAAGCTCGATGTCTGAGAAGCAAGAAAGTAAGACATGTACGGTTATTTCTTCCGGGGGGGGGTCCATGAACGATCTGGTTCCCTGACTTTTGGGAAGCACCCATTTGCGCTTCTTGCAGTACAAGGTCAAAAGGCTTTGCAAATTGGAGAGGAGCGGGGCTTGTGATCACCTTATCGTTGCTGCATGCTTTAGATACCCACCATAAATGAAAGAGGTGACCGCCAGCGGGTTTTGGATTGGACTCCCATGTTGTGTGAGCTTTTGTGGGGCTAGGTGTTCTTGGTTAGCAGAAACGTGGAATATTTCTGCCGCGATGCGTTTGGACAACGCAAATCATACGCAGCAGACATCGTTCAAAGCTTATGCCGCGCTCAGTATAGCTATCGAACGCAGGAAAAACAAGCATCATTCTATGTGCTCAAGCAAGCCTGCAACTGGTGTATCGTGGTGAAGCTGTTTTACTCCTTGTGGCTGTCTATTTCAGCGGCTTCATTTGCGAGCTACACTCTAATACTCTAGCACCTGAGCTAATTTGAAGGCTTGATCCCGCAAACATTTCTGAGAACTTTAGTGGATCCTTTGGAGGTCGTATTGTGCTGGAGGCAACAGAAACCTTGCAGTAAGCCAACGCCGTTGCATCCGAAGCTTGGATCCGAAGCTTTTTTTCAACGCCCTTTTGGATGCTCACAACTCAACCTTTTTTTGCTAGAGCAAGGCAAGTCCCTGTCGCTCATAATTGAGATAAAGTCCAGCACTCGCTCTTGCAAGACGGTGTGGCGGGTAAAAACCTCACTGGTCCAGAAACAACGCGGCACAAAAGATGGGACAACAGCTGGGAGAGGCTCCAGGACACAGTGCCTTGACTTAGGCTTTGCAACTATCACTGCATTCTGCGCTTTCCCTGGTATCCCTCTCGCCTACGGAGTAATTACACGGATCATCATCATCGACACTCAAGACTGCTGCGATGCAAACTGATGGGATCTCAACAATTGCTCTGTTTTTCAGCGAGCGGCCCGTCTTTGCATGCAACGTACAATGGGCACCCTAAAAAAGACGCACACAAAGACACGGACACAAAGACCAGTATTTTCTTGCTGGTGCTCAGTAGGGAATGTGGGAATGAACCCAGAGGTCCCCTTAAATGAAACAAGGGATGGTTTTGTGGGGATTACACTTCTCATTCCTTGCATCTCTCGCACTCGCAAAGTTTTTGTTAGAGACTTGCCAGGACCGTCCATGTGGGCTCAGCCTTCAAAGGCCGACCCAGCCTGGCAGAGCTCCGGAAGCTGAACGAGCCAGGCGAATGGCTTCGCTTGGTGCATACCCATGTGACTATCATGTGACTATCCGAAAAAAGAAGCTGGAGGCATGAGGCAACCCCCAGATTTGATCTTTTCCACGCCTGACCAAGAGGAAACCACCATTTGAGGGACATGTTCAGGTGGATCTCTTTGCGGGCAACAGAAGCACTTTTTTTTTTTTTGCGGGGGCAGGTCGGTTGGTGGGTTGTGAATGACAGAGGCAGGTCCAGCCTCGTCAGAGCTTGAGCAACCAGCAAAATTGCAATTTCAGGAGCGAGAGCGGCTTGTCATGCGGCATGGGGGGGGGGGGGAACAGCTTGTTCGCCACTTGGCATTTTAATATGCCACAACACCTGACATTTTAGATTCCCGCTGATTCGAAGGGAAATCAAGGGAAACCTCCCACAAACGTCCTGTTTGGTGAAAGCATGCGGAGATCGATTGCCATTCGGTAGGCCCTGATGAGCAGTATGGCGCCGAGAAGAAGGCCGCGTATCTGTTTGCTGGCGGTGCCTGAGGGAATCCAAGCCAAGGCTTTGTGGATGCATTGAGTTTGGTAGGCTTGGGTATGCATTTATCATTCCTTGATGTCTTGCCATTTTGGAACTCAAGTGACCTTGATCCAAACTGGCTATTTTTGAGTCTTTTGCCATGCCTCTGCTTCGTCCTGGCATCGATGTGGCGGTGCACACGGAGTTCGAGATGCTGTCTCCAGCGGCATGGTTGGACTTTAAGCAGCGCATCATCCGAGGGCAGGCCCGGGGGGACCGGGTCGCCACTCTTCGGCTGTGGCAGTCGGTTGGGATGGTGCTGCATCTTCCCCCGAGGGACGGGGAGAGTGCTTTTGAGGTCCCTGGTTTGCCCCCCATTTTGCTTTTGCCTTGCACTGAGGAAAAGTGTCAGAGGTGCAGGGACCGGGTTGGGGGTTTCAGATTCCCGTGGATTGGCATCTGGACTCGGCGGCATGTGCTCGAGATGGTGAGAGTGCCTCCATTGTTTGGGACCGTTACCATCGACACCATGATGTCTTCGATCTTTTGGGCATCGAGATGGCGCGCAGCTGCTGGACGCTCGGAGACATGGCTCCGCCCGAGGTACGGGCGTTGGCCCACGCTGTTCGTGGCCCCCCGGGTTGCGATGTGGACCTCGAGATGTTCCTGGTGGCCTGGAGGCGCTGGCAGGTGGGGTCTGCTGTGTGGGTGGACCCCGTCGACGCGCTCAACCTGCCACTGGATGGGCGTGGTGCCGCAGGCCGGGCAATGGCCCATTGGTTGGGGAGGCATCGGCATGGGTCGGCGATCCTGGGCTTACCTTGCCTGCGATGTGGGACCCCCAGGGAATCGGTGGAGGCCCTTCAACCGCGCTGGCTGAGGCTTGGTTGGAGGTGGCGAGCCTGGCGTATGAGCGCCTCTTGCCAGCAGCGGTGGCCGTGGCGGAGGGACCGCCGGTGGGCCAAGTCCTTCCCCTCAATCCCAAGAGAGGACGGCGAGCCCCAGCACCGTTGGCGGTGTGCCCGGATCACCCAGCTGAAGTCCTGAGGCATGTGGAGGTCTTAGCTGGGGCGCTGATGGGCTTTCGTGCAATGAGGCCGACCGGGGAGTTGACCCAGGCTCTCAAGGCCGAGTGGGAGGCCTCATGTCGGAGGCGAGCTCAACATTTGGTGACCTCCTCCGAGCGGGCAACCATCAGCAATGCCCTGAAGACCTGTTCTGCCGCTGCTTGCCTTTGGCGCAACGCCCGTGAAAGGTGGAATGGCTCAGGCGCCTGGGCTGTGACCGCATGATGTGCTTGTAGCGTAGCACCCCGGTGCCCGTCAACCACGATCCCAGCAGAGCGGACCACGCCGGGTCGTTGGCGTGGTACTTGGACACGATCATGTCCTCCAGCATCGGGAGCATCGGTGGCTCCGCCACGGCCGCTTGCCCTGCCTTGCTCGGCTTGGACGGCCTCGCCGGAGCTGGACCGCACTCAGGTCCAACGGAAGCTTGGCCTGCTTGACCAACCACCCCAACGATGCCATAGCCCGCACCTGCGCCGAAGTCCCATACTGAAAGAAAGAGTCCACATCCACATGCTGTGGTGTGAGCGGTCGACTCCGCCCTTAGATGTGGGACTTCTGTGCCCCGGCAGTCTTCGCCAAATGGTTGGCCTTGGGGGCAGATCGTGCTTGCCAAGTGGCAGCGCCTGGGCTGACGACCTACTCGTGGCGGCGGCTGTCCCCGCCCAGCTGATGGGACTCCAGGATCAGGCGATGCTATCACTGGGCGACTGGCAGGACAAGGGCAAGGAGAAACAGAGCTCGGCTAAGATTGGCCTGCGCTACTCAGAGGCGAGGTACGCCCTGTCCCTGCGCACCAAGCACAAGGTCTTCGCGGTGGCCCATGCCCTGCAGGTCATGCGCGACGGCACCAAATTGTGCGCGGCATTCCAACAGGGACAGTGCAAAGCAGGAAAGGACGCATCGGTGTGGGGCGATATTGAAAGGGAACCGTGCCTGCGGAAACCCTTGTCATGGAGCCAAGACGTGCACTTGGCTGGCGCGGGAGTCCGCCTTTGGCAGAGTGACCGAAGGGCGGCAGGGTGGTTCCCTGTCGCACAAGGCTGCTTTGCCGCCTTGGCTCCCCTTTGGGCTGTCGGACGACGACCACTTCGACCAAGCCATGGCCATCAGTCGGCATCCACTCCCGATGGAACAAGAGACGGTGTTGGACGAAGATTTGGAGTTTGCAGCCCACTCCTGCAATCCGTGGCTGCCTCGACGTGTTGGAAGCCGTCGTGCGCAGCAAACCCATGAGGGAGGTCGAGGTGACCTGGCGTGAGGTGCCACGCTTCTTTGCCGCTTCGGATGCGGCCTTGGAGGCCCCAAGGTGCGGGACCGGCGGATTCTTGATTGGGTGGGTCGACACACAGACCCACGGTCGGGAGGGCTTTGTGGCGTGTCTCCCACCCACGTTGTATAACTTGTGGAGCCCAGGCGATCACAAGATAGCCCAACTGGAGATGCTGATGATCCAGTATGCCCTGGTCGCAAAAGCACAGCGCTCGGGGCAGAAGGGGGATTTGGTACATAGATATGGTCCGGCAAATCCACATTATGCTCCTCGCTCTTGGAGCGTGGTTCTACTGGGAGTGGGTCCCTACGAAGAGCAACTGGGCAGATGCCATTAGCCGGTTAGGCCGGTCGGATCCATGGCACAAGGCGCGTGGTTTTTCAACGGAGGATGCCTTCTTCCCGTTTGAGCTGTGGCAGTTACCACTGCCCGCTCTGGTGCTCGTGATGCAGTTTCTGTGAAGTGCTTTGGGATAGGAAGTGCATTGGGAGATTCCTGGACAGGGTGTCCACGGAGGGTCTCTGACCAAGATGCCAAAAAACATCCGTCTGTCAGGAGGAGAAGCCTGTCAGACATCCCAAAGCAAATCCCTATGGTAGGGTTTGGAACTGCGTTGCATCGGGCGTGCAAAGGAAAAAGGAGGCGTGCTCCGTTCTAAGTGACATGCAAAGGAATGTGTGGATGCATTGAGTTTGGTAGGCTTGGGTATGCATTTATCATTCCTTGATGTCTTGCCATTTTGGAACTGATCCAAACTGGCTATTTTTGAGTCCCACCCACCCACCCTGCGGAGGGACCCGACGTTCGGGTAATCTCTCCGTTTGAAGGCCCACGACTTTTTCGCTGATGTTTTTGGCATGGTCGGGAGGGAGATTCCTGGACAGGGTGTCCACGGAGGGTCTCTGACCAAGATGCCAAAAAGCATCCGTCTGTCAGGAGGAGAAGCCTGTCAGACATCCCAAAGCAAATCCCTATGGTAGGGTTTGGAACTGCATTGCATCGGGCGTGCAAAGGAAAAAGGAGGCGTGCTCCGTTCTAAGTGACATGCAAAGGAATGATGAATTATCTCCCTACTGCATTGTACTCTCGGGTTTTGATGTCTCGGGACTATTTCTCTTGTATTTGATTGTTTCTCGGTGGTTTCTATGTTAGAAATTTTCTGGGCCTGCGGCCTCTAGCCGGCTACGCCTCTTTGAAGTTATACCATGTCATGTCATGTTTTTGTATGAGAAACGTATCCTGTGCTATGATATGGCTGGTTAGGTTATGCATGTTGCCCACCCCAACCCCAGATGATGCTGGGAATGCCAGCTTTCTGGGCTCCAGCCGGGCCCCAACCCAGAAGGCTGACATGGGGTCGCGCGCGCGCGCCAGAGGCCCCAGAAACAGCAGCCCAAAAAGCACAGCCCGCAAGCCAGCCCGGAAACGCAAATGCAACAAAACACCGTAAATAGCAGCGTTTTGTGGCTGGGGTCGCGCGCGCGCGCCAGAAGGCCCGAAAACCAACGGGAAAAAGCAAGGACCGCGCAGCACGCGAGCCAGCCACAGCAAAAGCAAAGCGGACAGAACAACAGCCCAACGCTCAGCACAGCAGTTTTTGGTCGTATTTACAGCGTTTTGTAGAGCGAGAGGACCCAGCATCGCCGGCATGCCCGGCGGCGCTTGGCGCCAAAATGCGCAAAAGGTGAGCCTCGCTTATATCCCTCCGACACCTTCTAAAAAACAGTGCTTCTGGTACATCCGGGTGTTGTTGATGGTAGTGATTGGCACTAGCATGATGCATGTGATGGTGATGAAGGAAAACCATCAAGAGAATGTTAACAAGTTTGTGCAAGGACTTTTTGAAATTGGGGCCACTGGGCAGCAGAATGAATGGGTTGGAGACCAAGAAAGGCCCTGGCTCATTTGATCCGAGATGCGAGTAAGATGCAGCGTTTTCCTGCCACAGGATCTCACTGGAGAGCCGCGCCAATCAATCGGCCACAGGCGAAAGCGCATGTGGAGAGAGGAGTACTTTCCGTGAAGGAGGGCTTCTATGCAGTGTGGATGGACTTGGAGTCCTTCTGAAACATCACCTGCAATCGGTTGATCCTCCAACCTCAGGAATCTTGCGTCTCTTCAGCAGTCCTTTGTCGATCGGCGTTCCCGGTACCTTCACAGCTGGGGCAGGTATCGCTGGGTCGACCCTCTCCTTTTTCATGCTTTCGGGAATGCACAAAGGCCTCAAGGCTTCTGCCTGCCAAACCAACGGGCTTCGTCGCTCTGAAAGCAGAAAACAAATCCACAACTCTTTCACTCTCAGGTCCTAAGTTTCCAAAGGGAACCCATACCAAGGTGCACCCTTGGCACCAACCTCATGCCTCTATACTTGTCTGGGCCGTGGGGTTTTCCATGCTCAATCACTCCAAAAGGGTGTCCGGCTTTCTACCACCAACACACAGTCGCGTCCGATCTAACGGTGTCATGGCGGACTTATAGCTGCCAGGGGCTCGCCCTCCAGGGGCGTGTTTGTTTGGACCTGGAGTCGCGCCACCTCACGCAGCACGTGGGCGCGTCGAGGAGCCTAAGCGAACGGGCAGCCTGTGCGGGGTGCGGCGCGCGGTTGCCGGCCAAGAGGCAGCGCTCCAAGTCGATCTTGCGCTTGACATGCTTGCCCTTGGCGCTCGCCTTGACGGCGCGCTGGAGCTGGTTCTCGAGCTCGGTGCGGGAGGCGCCCGGGAAGGGCTTCTTGAACACGATCATGTTGTCGATCACCCCCTGCTCCACCTCCTCCGTCCACAGTTCCAGGTCGGTGTTGCTCGCAAAGCACATCCTAACCTCTTGATTATGCAGACCAAGCCCTGCTGAAGCATTACCCAGGCCCAACCCCAGACGCTGACGATGCCAGCCACATGGCCAAAACCCTGCATACACGCGATGTTTTGCGAGCGTTTCCCACAGGCAAGCAAAGCCGCAAGCCCGAGCTGGTGACGCAGAGGTGCCGGATTTAGGCAGTGCATCACGACCAAGTGGCGAGAGGCGGCCCTACAGCTAAAGCTAGCAGGCCAATCGCCTAGCGGCGACACGCTAACCCAGGAGGCGTAGTTGGATTTAAGGGCTGCCGCCCTGTGCCGCCGGCCCCTGCTTGCTGACGGGGGACGTTGTTATGACAATTATGACTACGCATTTCTTGTCGGGTTTCACGGCACACTTAAAGCATATATGAAGAAGAAGAGCAGCGCGACAATGATGATGTTTTTGATGATGCATTTCTTCCCCAACATTAGGGATGCTGATAATTATTACTATGCATTTGCATTTTCGCCAGCAGTTATGATGATATTTGTTACTTTTTGCATTTTAAGCATCACCAGCAGTTGTTCAGATAATTATGACGACGCATTCCCTGCATCTCAAACAAGCCACTGCGGGATTTATCGCATGGTGATAATCACCTTGTTGAAGGTGTGTGGAAACTCGGGCAGGAAAACCATGTTGGGGGCTGTTTTTCCTTCTCAAGACTTCGATGTATTGCTGTGGATGCGATGATGATGATGATAAACTATGCACCCCGTGACAATCATGACTACGCATCCCCTGCGTCTCAAGTCAGGTCTAACGGCGCACTTGCAATGTGTGTGAAAAAGAAGCGCCGCGGATGATGAACATGATGAGGAACATGATGATGATGAACATGATGATGAACATGATGATGAAAATTTTGATGCTGATGAACATGAAAATGATGATGAACATGATGATGATGATGATGGCGATGATGATGAACATGACGATGATGATGATGATGATGATGATGAACACCACCTCACCATTTTCATCATCATGTTCATCATCGCCATCACCATCATCATCATCATGTTCATCATCATTTTCATCAATTTCATCATCATGTTTATCATCATCAGCGTCATCACCGTCATGTTCCTCAGCATGTTCCTCATCATGTTCCTCATCATGTTCCTCATCATGTTCATCATCATCCTGATGATAATCATCACTCCTCAGCATCACCAGCAGTTAACGTCATCACTATGCATCCCCAGCGTCGGCAGTTTTCATATCATGACAACGCATCCTACCTTGAAAGATGAACAGGATGAGGAACATGATGATGAAAATGATGATGTGATGATGATGAACAGGGTCATGATGATGATGAACATGATGAACATGATGAACATGATGATGAAAATGATGATGATGATGATGATGAACATGAACATAACCCACCATCACCATTTTCATCATCATGTTCAATCATGAGCATCATCATCAGCATCATTTTCATCATCATGTTCATCATCCTGATGATAACCATCACTACGCATCCTCATTATCACCAGCATTTAACGTCATCGCTATGCATCCCCAGCATCAGCAGCAGTTATCATGACAATCATGACAACGCATCCTCTGCATTTCCAGTCGGGCACACTTGAAACGTATGTGAAAAAAAGAAGAGCGCCGCGGTAATGATGATGATCCGGATGCTGTGAACCATCACCCAACATCAGTGGTGATGATAATCATCACTAGGACAAGGGCAAAGACAAACCCTTCCCATGCGCCTCCCCTTTGGAGAGGGGTCGGCGGATATTGATACTACACTACACATATGTATATACATACATATGTAGTTATACAAATATACGCACATACATTACTTACTTACTTACTTACTTACTTACTTACTTACATACATGCATGCATGCATGCATGCGTACATTTAGATAGATAGATAGATAGATAGACACATAGATAGATAGATAGATACGTACATACATACAAGCATAAATACATACGTACATACATACATACATACATACATACACGTACAACATGCTCCATTCAATGCAGGCCTTCAGCAAAGTTGCGGCCAGCATGAACACCTCATGATTCAGGTGCAACAAATAGTCTTCCTGTCTCGGGAACATACCAATACGCAGCTTACTATCCAGTACATGAGACAGGGCCAGTACTTTACAAGGGCGTGGCTACGAAGGTTCCAATGAGATTTAGATACTGTTGCAAGTCTTTATCAACAGCTGTTGCTGCTTTGCACCAGAGCTCTGACTTCTCAACGCAGAGTGTCTCTGCGATCTTTTGCTCGGCCTGCGATTCTGCTCCCCTCTCCCTCGCTCCCTCGCTCCGACGCTCCCTCGCTCCCTCGCCCTGGGGCGCACGCTGCGGAGGCCTTTGGCAGCGACCAGGTGTCCGGGCGCGGGCTGCGGTCCGGGGCCAGCTGCCTGCAGGTCCTGGAGAAGCGTCACTCGGAGTTGTCGCTGGTGTTGAGTGTTTGGTTTGGTGGACATTTGGCGGGAGAGGGTGGGGAATCCAACTTATTTGGCCGGGGCCGGACTTAGCGCGTTATCAACTGGCAGTGAGCGCTTGTTGCTTCTTGGTTTTTTATTCAATAGCCAACTCAAGAACTACGGGTACCCAGACGGCCCAGACTGCCACGCCAGTTGCCACTTTGCATCCCTTTCTGCGCTAGGGGGAAGCCAATGCTTGTGTGCCATCAACACACACAAAGTAGTGCCTGCCTAAACAGTCCAACCAGTCGCATGACCACAAAACAGCCAGCGTCATAGCAGGATTTCCTTTGGAGCTTGCATTGTGGTTTGTGCCCCACAGAAAAAGGTACCTCGAAAAGTACTTGCAACAAGCAGGCCCCATCATGCGAGCTTTTGCCTCTCTCCAGAAAGAAATCCAACCTTTTCCTTGGATTGCTTGATGGGTTGCGCGAATGAGTGTTTTTGTCGGAGTAGTCATTTTTAGATTAGAACTCGTTTCCATTCGAGCACGCCCAAATTGCTGGAAGCTTCCTTTTGTTCACCAGGGCTTTACAAAAGCTAGGCTTCCGGACCTCTCAGACCACGCCTGGATCGCTCGGCTCGGTGTTCGTTGCTCGGCTCGCTCGTTACTCGCTCGTTGGAGGCTCGGTGCTGGTGGCGGTCCGGGCTCGGCCGCCGAACGAGCGCGAGAAGGCCGCCGCCAGCGCGGAGTGCCTCAGCTTCGAGGCACACTTTGGGCGGCGCCAATGGCGCGGATTGCGACGTGATCAGCTTGCCTCGGTTGGTCTTGGTGACACGGCCTATTGGAGCCCTTGCACAGGCCACCAAAAAAGACATCAGGTTTGGCAGACCACACAAAATGACATTGGGTGGGATATGTTCATCGCTTCAGGACGCCCTGCTTGGGGGGGGGGGTGAGTCTGGGAGCAGGGGATCTCAATCCTGGTGTGGTAGGAAACTCATCTCCTGGGATCTATTTCAGGTCAGACCCAAATGTATTTCAGATAGATTGGATAGACAATGGATGTTCCTGGTTGTATTGACAATTGATCTCTCTGTTCACGCACTGCCGCAAGGCCTTTTCACAGGAAGCACATGGCTCGTATTGTGCAAAGAGTGAAGAAGGGCCTTGAGCCAAAATGGTAGATTGTATGAAGGTCAACAGTCTTGTCTTGTCTTGATAGTTGCCCCCCCCCCCCCCCCCCCCTAAAGCACACTTTTTTTGTCGCCGGTGATCGCTTTTGCAACACCCCGTCTTGAGAATTCCGCACGCAGGCCATACAAAGTAGAGGTGTTCCACCGGGCTCCAATAAGCCGTGTCACCCTGTTTTTGGGTTTGGTAAACCGCTGGTCTAAAAGTTAAGAGCTAATATCCCATTTACCCCCTGTGAGAACCAGAAATTGAATTCTGCAAGACATATCAACAACTGGAGGCTTAGCTGATCAAACAAATCCCGGCCTGAACCAAGCCTAAACCCAGCCCATGCTGGTAGTGCTGATGATGCTGGTTGAAAACCACCCCCAAAAAGCCGTACACTGAACCTAGCCGGCTTCAAGCCCACATGGAACCATATTGCAGGAGATCTGCGGAAATGGTTTGGATTTGTGTGCTCTGTAAACAAAACCAAAAAGGGGTACTATCAAACAACACGAGCCACCGAGGACATGCATCGTTTCATATTTCCTTGATGCCGAAAGCGTCCTAAACTAGAATTCACAGCTAGCAGCTAATACCCGGTAGTTCAGAATCATTTGGGGTACGTGCCAGAGATCCTCGTGAGGCAGAGACAGGCATCGTGCTGCACCGGGACGAAGATCGAGACCACCGCTTCGCCTTCGATTGCATCATGCGCCAGACCACGGGCCAGCGCGAGGTCTACGCTGGGGAGCCCAGGAAAGGTGTGTTTTGTTTTCGAGTTGGCACCATTTGGGTTTTTGGTTTAGCAACCAAACCGTCTATCCAAAGATTTCTCTCAGGACCGGACCGCGCGGCCGCTGCTGCACAAAGTGCTGGAGGGTGCCTCGGCTTCGGCTGCTCCGAGGGCCGAAAGCATCAAATCGGAGAGGTTTTAGGGAGTCATTTTGGTCATGCATCCCCGAAAGCCAAGTTTCAGCGAATCTTATTTTGGCGCTGCTGGTCCGCGCGCGGGTTTCTGCGCAGTCCGCGCCGGAAATCTGGAAAGCCGTAGGTTACAACGGCTGCCTCTTCGCCTACGGGCAGACGGGCTCTGGGAAGACCTTCACCATGCAGGGCGCTGCAGGGGAGGAGGGCATCATCCCCACGCTCTGCACGGAACTCTTCCGGGAGATTCAGGCGGGGGCATCTTGAGGCCTTGGGGGGTCTCAACCAAGGCTTCGGAAGCGGAAATCCTATCCAGGGGTTGCTTCCTTCCTTCCAACTTGTTTCTTGTGCTGGGGTTCCCTTTCGGCCTTTTGCCAAGGAAAGGGGTGCTTGCTCGTTTTCTTTGGATCCGGTGTCTGAAGTCCACTCCCGGCTTGCTTTTGGCTCTGACTTTACATGCTTTCGTTTTCAGATATGAAAGCTGACAACAACAATAGGACGGCCCTCAAATGTTTTTGAAGACCCCTTGGTCTCCTTTCCCTGTTTCTCCTTGCTGGTCTTCAATCGGGTTAGGAGGCGGCGGAGCAGCGGCACATCACGGTGGTCTGCAGCGTGCTGGAGATCTACAACGAAAAGGTCAAGGATTTGGCGGCGGATGCCGCTGGCGAGGACCTGGCGATCCGCGAGGATGGCTCCCAAGGCGGGCGAAATGCGTTGAAACAGCCAAGGGGGGAGGAAGGGGGGGGCTAACCGGGCATTTCTCAAAACGGGGGGCTTCGTCAGGGTTGGAGAGAGCGCCAAAGGCTATGTTCAAGCAATAGTGGACATAGCGAGTGCAAAGGGCCGGCACCGTTGTCCAAAAAGCTCGGCTCAATCCTCAAAGAGGGCTCACCAAGTGCTCACTAGCCATGGTGATAAGATTCAGGTAGAGTTGCATGAAATAGGTGCTACCAACTAATCGACCAATTTGTTTGGTGAGACCCCCCAAAATGGATCTCGGTTTTGGTTTCCCTTCGAAACCCTCCCAAGAAATGGGGCACAACCTCCCAGCGCATTTCAGTGCGGCAAAGGCAGGCGGTTGGCCAGGCAGTGAATATAGTATTCTTGTTTTAAGAGTTGGTACCCTTGTATTTTGGTCTTAAAGGAAAGTCAAAAGGAAAGCACGTTTGTTTTGTCGGGTCCTGCTGGAAAAGGACATGCCATGTTGCGCCAGAAAGTGGTTTTGTTTCTACCTCGAAGCAACTGGTTGAGTCGTTTAGAGAGGTCAGCTCAAAGCAATTCTGGGTCGACATGAAAGCTGACAGGATTCTCCAGGTTAGTCAACGCCCCGAGGCTCCACTCTGTTTGGTCAGGGTGTTGGAACTTCTCTGGTCGAACGAGCCCCTCGATCCATCTTGATGTTTTTTAAAAGGTGGCACCCGTTTTGGGTGCTTCACAAGGGAAGTCAACCGGAAAACACACTTTTTTGGGTGTCCCCCTATTTTGAGACACACCCTTTTTTGCAGGTTTACAAGGAATAAAATGGAAACCAACCGCTTCGCTACTTCAATTGCCCCCCCCAGTGGCGGACAAGTGTCGAGGGGAAACCAACCACCTGTGGCGGCCTCTGATTTTGAGAGCTCGGGAGTTAGGTGGCCGCGGTATTCACGTGGAGGGCCTGAAGGAGGTGTGGACGCCGGGCTTCGGTCCATTTTGGGTCAGACTTGCAGCGAACAGAAGCAAAGGTGGCCTGTGTTTTCGGCATTCGACAAGGGAGGGATGGAATGGACGGAAGGGAGGGATGGATGATGGATGCCGCCCTTCTTGGATCCCGAAATGCAGCTTCCCCCAAGTTCAAGGATCCATTCTGGGCGACACACTATTTCGGCGCTTGTCATATTGGATGGGCATGTGCCAGATTCAAGTCCGGAGCTGCGAAGAGGTTCTCGACTGCATCACCAAGGCCAGTTTTTTGGTCGCGGCCGCAAAAGGGGGGGACAGGTCTGCAGGTGGGCTCGGCGGGCAACATAAAGGTTTTGCTGCGAATGCAGCGCAGTTTGCTTCCCGCGTTGCTGGTCTTCAAAAGTCCCCTGCGCTTGTGACCTGGCAGACGTGAATTGGCTGAAGCAGCTGGTGCCTTAATCCTCGCCCCTCGCTGAGCTGCGCGCCCGGCCAGGCGCAGCTGAAACGGTCCGTGGGCAAGACGAACATGAACGAGCACAGCTCCCGTGCCTCGCCTTGGGAAGGGAATATCTCAAGCCCAACCCTCTACCGGTTCGGGGGCCTAAACTGATGGCGCCAAAACGGCTCAACCTTTGTACCGGCGTGCTGGACGGCTGGGT